AAGTGATGGGAATGGTCTGTATCTTGGTGGCTGAGACAACTGCATGTCTCTAGATGCCTGTGAAAACTCACAGAACTGCACACCAAAAAGAGTTTACTGGATTTGGCCCACTCTTTCCAGAAATCAGCTCGGGATGAAAGGGAATTGCAGATGCAAATTTTACAAGCCATCTTGCAGGCAGTGAGCCAGCAAAGAGGCCTACCTGGTGACCCAAAGTGATGAGACACATGACACCACATCTATGAAAAGTGGCTACCGACATACTTCTCAAATACATTTGCCAGACTTATGCTACTCACAGCACCAAAGTAAGGAGCTTGGTGGACAACCCCTGTGCCTTCTTCTTCCTTCACGTAGTTGTCAACAAGCACAGTGAAAGCGCCATTCTCTTTACACTGGAAAGAAAGGACAGTTGGCTTCAGGGATGAAATATTAATGTGTTACAATGTTAACTTTGTAACAGTTTTTCCTAAGAAACTGAAAACACTTTTAACAGGTAAAATTATTTTCAGAAATAGAAAAGAATAATTCAGGCTGGGAAGAAACATGCTAACTCAACACATTTTTTCCCATAAATAAAAAGTTACCACTTACAAATGAAATAATTATCTGGAGACTGGCATATAAAAATTTCTAATTTCCTTGGTTACAAACTGATGTTTTTCATCAGTTCTCTCTCTCCCAACTTTTGGCTCCCAGTATGTAGTTTAGGATATAGTCTCAGAAAGCATGGTCCCTAAATTGTTCACTTCCTGGTACATTTTCAATCACTGCATATGTTTCGCTTCTCTTTTTCCGTTCGACTCAGCTCAAGTTATTCAGTCATAAAGGCAAATCTTGAAAGGAACAGGTGGGAGCCACGAGTAGTAAGTTCTCCTTACAGGTACTCCACCACCTTAATACTCAGGGGAAAAGTATTCAATTTCATTTTCTTTGCAACAGCAATATCATCACGTTAACACATATAATGCTAACAGACCTACTCTTTCTACTTTTATCTCTTTACATTTCTTTCCACAAATCCTTGTTTCTACCAAACTGGCCCTTTGATGTTCTTCCTTTTTGCATTGGTAAAAAGTACTTTCATGAATGATTTTCACATTTAACTCCTATAATCCTGTGAACAAGCTATTAGTATTTCCATGTCTTAAAAATATTCTGGCTGTATTTGCATTTCACAGATGAGCAAACTCAGAACAAAGATTAAATTTAGTCTTATCCAAACCACATAACTAATAGTGATGAAGCCAGGACCTGGAACAGGTCTTCTGGCTGCAAATACAATGTTATTTTCAATTACATCACAGTACTTGGTTTCTTTGGAACTTAAAACTAAACTTGAAAAATAACCATAAAATTGTAATTGCTGTAACTCAAATCACCTTGAAACATTTTAGAAGTTATGGTATGACAGGTGCTAAAACTTCGATAGTTTAAACAGAAAGACAGAATACATGGGTCCTTAGAATGACATGTATACTTAGTTACATGTTCTATACTTAGAAGCAGTCTAGACAAAATCACTGCTTCTTGTCTCTCAGGGTCTACTTTGGGCCTACCCAGGCCGTGGTTGGGCTGCTTCTACCCAGGTCAGTAGATACCAACCACCAGGAGCCGCAGTGCTGCTCCATAGGCAGTGTCCGCTGACACAGCTTCCCTTGATACTTCAGAACAAGTATATTTCAGTGAACAGCAGATGATTCTGTCCTGGGTCAAACGATTTATAGTACCTGTCTAAAGTCACCGAAGGTTTCAGGTAGTTAGCTAAAGTTTATTTAGTGAGTAGGTGTTATTCAACTTATATGTACCAAGTGCACATTCCAGACAGACCTCTACTTAACCTAAAGTTCCTGTCTAGTGTGTCCACGTGTATTTTTTCAGGGGGTTGATTTTTTGGGTTCTCAATAGGTTTTGTGATTCAGAAAGGTAAAGAGTCACTGATCCAGTGGAAGAGATTTTAGATAATAAAAAAAACACAACATAAACCAAAGTAGGTTAAGCTATATGATAGGAGAATGGAATGAAGTAATGACATTTTTCCAAGGGAGAAACCAAAGATGCATTTCAGAAAACTTTCAGATGACATCTGAGTTCAGACTTAAAGGGTAAGTTAACTCAGCAGATAGCAACATAAAAAAAAGATGAAGACTTCTAAAATGGTAGGAAAACTTAATGAAAAAAAAAAAAGGCAGGGAAGCAGGAAAGGGAAGAGCCAGTTTGACTGAATAAAGGATACGTCTAAAGTAATGTGGGAGGATGAAGTCAGGAAGCAGGTCTGCCGCACACTGACTGGGGAGGGCACGTCCCGAATGCTGGGAAGTAACTAATGCTTGTAGGGAGGAATGGGATGAGGGCAGAGCATATGTAAATCCACTGGGCAGCAACATGGGAGAAGGAAGGCGGCTATTATGTAGGCAATGAGAAATGTGGGAAAACACTCAAGAGGCATAAAAGTGAAGAGGCAGGTAACAGACACACTGTGAATAGGGCCCAAACCACATAGGTCTCCTGAATCAATCAGACTTGTCCCACACGGAACATAAACAACAGAGGGTCCAGTGAACATTTTTTTCTGGGATGGGATGTAAGTGATATGTCTAGTTGATTATTATTTCCACATAACCATAAGGCCAGGTCTGCTCATTATCTCATTTCAAGACCTTTAAATAAGGATAGAGGAATTCCTCCTTGACATTATTCTTTTGGCGAGAGTGTGGGAGTGGTGGCAACAGGGTTTGCAACTGTAGCTGTGGATTCTTCATTGTCAGAAAATAAAACTACATAAAACAACTTTATGACTCTGAAGAAACTAAGGTGCTAAATGTATGAGCTCTGTCGTGGTGCCTAGATTTAAAACACCTGCCTCATTAACCTCCTTGAAATAAAATTGTGTTTACCTTTACACACAGTGTTACTGTGATTTACTATCTTAACTTTGTCAAAACAAACAAACAAACAAACACCTCAATAAATACCCTGGGTGGTATGTAGACTACATGCAATAAAAATATACACCTAAAAATCCAATCAAATGTAAAGTGATTCCTCATACAACTTGAGAAAAATGTTCAAATAAAAAATCCCAGCTTGGCCGGGTGTGGTGGCTCACGCCTGTAAACCCAGCACTTTGAGAGGCCAATGCGGGTGGATCACGAGGTCAGGAGTTCAAGACCAGCCTGGCCAAGATGGTGAAACCCCATCTCTACTAAAAAGTACAAAAATTACAGCACGCCTGTAATCCCAGGTGCTTGGGAGGCTGAGGCAGGAGAATCTCTTGAACCTGGGGGACAGAGGTTGCAGTGAGACAAGATCACGCCGTTGCACTCCAGCCTGGACGACAGAGCAAGGCTGTCTCAAAAACAACAACAACAAAAAATCCCAGTCAGGCACAGTAGCTCACGCTTGTAATCCCAGGAGTTCAAGACCAGCCTGGGTAACATAGCGAGATTCTGTCTCTACAAAAAATTAAAAACTTAGCCAGGTGTGGTGGCGTGTGCCAGTAGTCCCAGCTACTTGAGATGGGCAGGGGAATCACTTGAGCCCAAGAGGTCAAGGTTGCAGTAAGCCGTAATCGTGCCACTGCACTCCAGCCTGGGGGACAGAGGGACAGAGGAGACCCTGTTTAAAAAAAAAAAAAAAAAAATTCCTCTAAAACAAAAAAGCAACACAAACAATTTAATTTTGTTGGCACTAAAGCAGACTTTCTGGACTCAAGTACACTCATAGAAGCAATGTCAATTCCACTTATCACAACACTCCAGCTATCAAATAATCAGATTGTAGAGAGCTCCCACAGTAACGGTCCCTAAGCTTACCTTCATGAAATAGTCAAACAGGGGCCTGTACTTCTTCCCTTTAAGATAGGAACCAGGAAATCTAGAAAAAGAGAAGGGTAAACTCACAATTAGATTAAAATAAAATATGAGGCTACAGCCACATCAAGCTACCACTCCCCTCTGGTTTACTGGCTTCTTAGCCCTAGCCATTAATGCTGTAATGTGTGACTACAAAGTATTAGTATTAGTACTTCAAACTAAATGTGAATAATGCAAGCTTTTGGATAATAAAGCTTCTCTCTTTTTAAAACTAAAGACACA